CGGTCACTTAGAATACATTGAACGAGCAGGATGGCGGAATATTGACCCGTTTTTGTGGACTTTTATGGACCTTTCAATATCGGGCGCCATAGACCTCCATTATTTGAATGTCAGCAGACAGCAAGAAGCCTCCCAGATCTCCAGATGCATTTGAGATATCAAAAAAGTACTTCAGAGTGTTGTTCAGCATGGGGGTGAGTAGAAAATGAAGGCTAATCATGTTTTTGGTAAACTATTCCTTTAAGTCTTCAGTGGACGTTACTTTATAACCCCTCATGGCTAGAGTTACCCATTATATATGTGCACCTTTAAAACAAACATGTTGCCCTTCCCCTAGATTTTCCAATAAAATGTATGGCGAGACCACTATTATGTTCTCACATAATTTTTTTTCACCATTTCAAACAACCTATACTAAAGATGTTATTACCCTTCTCTCGATAAAATGTATGTCATTGTCATTAGATGAGAGGACAAGAGAGGTGGGACATTTAGTGATTGGTAGGATAAAAATAGAAGGAGATACTCTAACTGCATGAACTTTGTCCTACTAACACACAATTTTGATTCGGAAACACAGCTGCTATTAAAGGCCGAATCGTCAATTGATTCTGACAGGACAAAAGATAGCAAGTTATATTTTGGACTGAGTTAGTTTTACTTGGTACTCTTGCAAGTCTTAATCTCAGATTATATATAAACACAATTTAAACCAGATCTTAGGAAAATAAACACTTGCTTTTTCACAATTACTCTTTTGTTCCCCAGTTAATTTAGGAAAATAAAACAGAAAGATAAGCATAAATGTGTGGTATTTTCAAAAATATTTATACTTAATGAAGTCCAATGAAGAATATAAACATAAATAAGCTATATTACTTAAAATTTAGACTTTTATTAGCTAGTAAATAGAAAAATTAGACAACTAATGAATACAAATTAGGCAGGCAAGTTATTGGCTCAGTGTTTTATCTTCTCTCTGAGCATTAGCTCTAAAACAGAAAGCAAAGCAAGCTGGTGACCACAGAGCAAAACAGGGTGGTTAGAGGAATAAAAGCGTTCAAACAGGATTAATTTAGTCACAGTATGCAACTTAGGTTTGGTTTTAAGGAAAAACAACTCTGGGACAGTTTGCTGTAGGCAGCTTTCGAGCCTCACTGATTGCCATCATGTGAGCTAAAGATTTATGAGCATACATTAGTAAAAAATATTACTTGTTAGAATTTTGTTTAATATTAAGCAAATTAAATCCAATCTGAGAAGAATAAAAAAAGAAACTCTGGAGAACAGATGCTGCTTAAAACTGCTCTTCTTGATCATGCATGTATATATGTATAACTATTGTATAGTTAAGAAAAGCCATATCAGTCAATTAGATCAGAAACCTTTTCCAAAATGCATTTAGGATTACTTTCCTAATGCAAATCTATTTAGTTTATGTAAATGACATTTTGGCTAACAATTGGATACACAAAGAATTTGTTTATCTGTACCAAAACTTTTAACTTAACAGGATTGATCATTAATCAAACAATGGCACAATAACAGCTACAATACACTCAAATAGGAAGAACTGTAATCATACATTTTACCTGCAAACCTGTTGGACATATAATGTTCCCACAGCCCCCAGCACCTACTTATAAAATGTAATATCTCATTTCCAACTGAGTGAAAAAACAACTGATGGAAGCTGGGGCCCATTACGCAACTACAGCTGATGGAGAAATGTGTTAAACTTCTGTGTATGTTACAAGAAGAAAAATACAAAAAATTGGACATTAAAGCTCATGGATCTTTTTCCCAGAGTCATTATTTAGTACCAATAGACTAAATATCACCAGCCTGTTACTGAATCAGTTTAAATTTCCACATGTAGGCCAAAGGAAATGTGCCAATAGAGAAACTCATTTTTAAAAATCATTGCCCACACAGTTACTCACCAGCATGACGACACACCAGTTAAGGATTCCTCTGTAGTTGCTATAGCCGCTGGCTGAGCTCAGGAGAGATTCCTGAAGAACGTGGCAGCTGTAAAACAACATGAATATAACACTCAGGATTTCAACTTTAATGCCCATAATTCTGTTTGTTTAGGGATTAAATAAGTATTGAACAAGAAAAAAAAATTCAGCTTTGAAATTTTTATATAAAAAGACATAAGTTGATCAAAATGAATTTACCATAAAATATACAACATACTTATATACCCTCTATATGCTCTCTGAATTTATTTTAATATTCTTGTTGACAACTTATTCAGTGTTAATTAATAACAAATCTACCTGGGTAGACCATACCATATTTTGCATTTCTTTAAAGACACAGCTGCTGCTCTGCTAAGCTTTTAATAATCTATTAGACTAAAGTCTTTCTGTACCCCCTTATTGGGAGATAATTTGCCCTGAGTAAGTCACAAGTCACCATGATCCAATATCTACTGCATAAAGCAATGAAAGAGTTTTAAACGACTTGTTCAAAAGGTGGGTTGAAAAGGCAAGGGATCAAAAAGAATTGATAAAATGTATTTAGGCTTTTCATTCGATTTTTTTCTTCATGATTATACCTGAAAAAGAGGAAGGAAAGGAAGAGAAAGAAGTAGAGCGGGAAAAGGAAGACATTACAGGGAGAAGATTCAAATGTTAAGCCAGGATAGGATAAGAGCAATCATTCAAACCAGTCAATGGATTTCCACACAAAGTATTTCTTATAAAGTAGGGGTTTCCAGGTACAACTTTTTCCATTTCTGATAAGACGCTGATATTACAGCTTTGGTTACTGAACAACACTGATAATGACCCGAAATCAGCTCTTATCATTATTTTGTAGTTTGGAATGCTAGAAAATCTTTAAACAACTGACATTACTTAAATACAGAACAAGTCAACTGCTGTTGCAGTAATGTGTCTGCAGGATACAACTGATAAAAATGCTAAAGTGAACCGAATGAAGGTGCAGAATGCTGGAGCTGGGTGATTCAGCATGATATCTGAGATTTTAGATGCAGGCAGATATAATCTGCTATTCATTTTTTGACTGAAAGCGACCTGATTACCAATATCAATATCAAATTGAGACATCCCTTTTAAAAAGTGCAAGTTTTCTGCACTTTTTATACTTGATATAGATATTTATAACTAAGGGAAGGAGTGACTAAAAAAAAAAAAATAATAATCCCATTAATGCTGGACAATATCCTTTTTTTGAAGTTTACCATTAACATCAGTTAAAAGTTAGGGGAAAATAATTTGATGCTTGACTGACCTACATTTACATAGTTTTGTTGGATTAAATTCTACTACTGCCTTTTATCTATCAGAATTTTGGCAGCACAGGATTTCTCCTTGAGAAAAATAAAGCTTATTAGTCAATATCAGAAATGGTAGGTATGACTGTAAAAAGACTGGATCAGGAAAACAATTATAGGTGCATCTTTAATATTGGGAGCAAACATATTGTGTCCAATTTAGCAACAAGTTAGTCCTCTTAATTGAACTGGTTTTGTAATGTAGTCTATATGATGATGGCAACTTTTGATCCAAGGGGTAAATTTGAGGAATTAAAGCTGTAGCTGTAAGTAAGAATAGATTTACTGACAAAAAGACAACTGCTGTCTTAGTTGCACTTACAGTCACTTTCATTGCAATTTCAATGAATGACAGAGTAGCACATAAATATAAAGTTAAAGGAAAATGAGAAAGTTTTTATTCTTTTGCTATTACAAATCTTAAAGCAGTGGCTTAGCTTTGGATTTTGCACCATTTATCAACTCTGATAGGAGTTACAAGAAGGCCATGATTGAATGACAGCAATAATGGGCCCAGTAGACCATGAAGGAATCCAGCAAACCTGTAAAAATCTGATAAAATTGAAACACAGATGATGACAGGTGACTCCTACCACCCCCAGCTCAGCTGTTGAACACGGTGTAGAAGTATCAGGCTGTGGGGTTGCTATTCTTTAAAAGGGGTTGATGGGAAGATGCATGGAGTTAAATACAAAACAATTTAAGCTTGTTAGAATTCTGCACCTGAGAGTTGGTTAGACCATCACCAGCTGCAATAAGCAAACTAGTGACACAGCTGAATGAAAAACTAACCACACTTGCAAAATATCTAAACGTTATCTGATATGTGGTAAACATGTAACCCAATAAAAAAATGAATGAGGCATTAGATTGAATAATTATAATATAGTCTACTTTATAGCCAAATTAAAAGCTGGGTGTGATAGTGAAAATGTATTTCCAGATAAAGAGGATGCAAAGGAACATATATTTACATTATTTTGGATATTGTCCCATTATTAAATGCGCACCATCAAAAACCCAGATATGTTATTAGCCTACCAACATCTCAGAGGTAGCAGATGTGTAGAATTTTACGTAGGCCTAAATAATATTATTAATAATAAAACATTTAAAAATAAATGACCTGAGTTGGTCGTTGATGTCTTCCACAGCACTCCTCTGGCTGCTCCTGGACTGAGGCTCCTGTTTTCTCCCTGACTCCTCTCTGTCCACATTCCCATTGCTGCGCTGCTTGGAAGCCGCTGGTTTGGCTGCAGCAGAACCCACAGGAGGTTTCCCCCCTGCATCCTGCACCTTGGTGCCGTTGGCTTGTTTCACGCTGCCCGCTCCTCCACTACCGGAGGTGGTGGTCCTCCTCCTGCGTGTTGCGGGCCCTTTCGCGTCGCTCATTTCTGCGCTTTTCAGTCACGCAGCTTCTATCTACGCGGCATAGCTGGTATATAACTGTCGCTCCCTTTCTTTCTCCTTGCTGGAGCTCTATAACCCTGCTGGTGATGAAGGGGGAAAAGCAGGTTATTATTACCACCAAAGCTCAAGGTGCATTGACTCTGCTGGGTTGCCAGATCTCCGGTTCTTTGAGCAAACACCCCCTCCTATATTACAGACGCGCATAACAACTTCCGCATGTGAAGCGGTTCCTTTAAAAGTGATTTCCTCATCAGCATAAGAGATCTTTGAACCGCTCAATGCGTCAAACAAGCTTCTGGGGTCTTGTTTTTACCAGATTGTCCAGCAATGACTGCCAACTTAATCTTAAAGCAAGTGATGTTTCTCTTGTAAGGAAGAGGATTAGGGCCACTGAAAAAATTAATTTCAGTGTAATATTAGAATCTCAGAATTCTGACTTTTTTCTAAGAATTCTGACTTTAATCTCAGAATTCTGACTTTAATCTCAAAATTGTGACTTTAATCTCAGAATTGTGACTTTAATCTCCGAATTCTAACTTTAATCTCAGAACTCTGACTTTTTTTCTCTCAGAATTCTGACTTTAATCTCAGAATTCTGACTTTAATTTCAGAGTTCTGACTTTAATCTCAGAATTCTGACTTTAATTTCAGAGTTCTGACTTTAATCTCAGAATTGTGACGTTAATCTCCAAATTCTGACTGTAATCTCAGAATTGACTTTTTTTCTCAGAATTGTGACTTTTTTCTCCGAATTCTGACTATAATCTCAGAAATCTGACTTTATTTTCAGAATTGTGACTTTAATCTCAGAATTGTGACATTTTCTCTCAGAATTCTGACTTTAATCGCAGAATTGTGACTTTTTTATCAGAATTCTGACTGTTTTCTCAAAATTCTGACTTTAATCTCAGAATTGTGACGTTAATCTCCAAATTCTGACTGTAATCTCAGAGTTAAATTTTTTCTCAGAATTGTGACTTTTTTCTCTGAATTCTGACTATAATCTCAGAATTCTGACTTTATTTTCAGAATTGTGACTTTAATCTCAGAATTGTGACTTTAAACTCAGAATTGTGACTTTATTCTGAATTCTGACAGCTAGTAAACATGTAAGCATCAAGCCTTAGCCATGTCTGTTTTAAAGACTAAACTAGCTCTGTTGTTTTAATGAGCTTCCGCTCCTCCATTAACGAAATAGCATCACCAGGGACCCTCGGGCATGTCATTTTTCACTAATGTGTTACTGGCCCTCCCAAACAACTCACATCTTTGTCAGTGAAGCTGACAGGAGTGTCTTGCTTCTCCTCACACTTTCACTATGAAATAGAGGTTTAAGGTTGAATCTATTACCAAAAAGAAACCGCAACTCTGAGAACTCATCCTACTGAACAACTTGGCCACACAACAACAACTAATGTCTAACATTTGTGGAATATCATGCAAATTTTAAGATATATGGGGCCACCAAGGCTCCTGAGATGGGTTAGTTGGTGTGGCGGGAAAGTTTGTTGATTGCTGTGTGTTTTATATGCAGTATGAAGCAGATTTATCCCACTTTTAAGGAGGATGCTGTCCAAGAGAGGTTTAATGGATTGGAGAAACAATGTATTTATTTATTTGTTTATTTAATCTTGTGTCCCTTACTCTCAAGAAGGTTTTACTAATAATACAATTGTTGGGCAAGAATAAACACTTTAAATGAGCTGTACAAATGTATTCAGATAGGTGGTAAAATGCTTTAAATAACCGTAAAATCTTTTAAAATTGGTTTTAAAAGTCACTTTCGATATTCTAACAGGGAGACAATCTGCAGGACTACAAATACTACAGTCAAGTTAGGTTGGCCTCCTCCTCGTCACTCAGCCAATCACTGGGCTGTCACGTGATAATTTCGTCCAATCGGAGTGTGGCAGACAGTGCTAGGTTGACTCAGTCGGTAACAGCTGTTGACAGGAGCGGTGTCGTTTATATGAATTTACACACGCATACAATTGGCCCCCTGTTTGTATTAAAATCCTGTTTTTAATGTTTTCTTTTTTTATATGGAACACCGTTTTAGTAACAATTTAGTAGCCTTTACTTAAAAGGAATGAGAAAACACAAGAGGAAGAAACAAGGAGGATTTGGGGGCAGTGAGAATGGATGTGTCACAAGAGGTTAGTGCATTTCATAGCTAACACATTTATGTACATAAAAAGGCTTTTCTTCTACTAAAACTTACCCAGCAATTTTAAAGTTTAGGGGTAGTAGATAAATCGTTAAGTTAACAAGTACCAGGCTTAAATATCATTTTACGTAAGCAGCCAGGTCTGGATACTAATCTGGGGTTAAAGGAGTTTCCCTTTTTACCTGACAACAAATCACCCAAAATCTTTTCTTCACAAGATTTAATCTGGGGGACAAAAAGAAGAAAGAAATGAATGTTTAAGTGGTGCTTGCGTGGCAGTCTGAGCTGCTAGAGCTGAAACTATCCTGAAGAATGACGGAAGTATGGATTTAATCCACAGAGAACCTGTCATTTGTGTCATTGTCCAGATTTCCAGACAAAGGCTCTTATATACGGTAACTAAAAGTCTTCAACTCACTGAGTCACTGAATTATTTGTCTCAGTTCTATAGTCCAATGACATAAATCCTCATGATTTTACTGGGTTAATATTATTATCATTGTATTAGAATGTTTAATTCTTTTCATGACTTATGTGCCTTAATATGGATTCTATTGCTTTGATATCCAAATGTTTACAAGAATATTTAGATTAAAGAGGACCTTTAAAAACAGTATTAACTGTTTGTGCTTTGTTACAAAATAAATACATTACCCATTTGAGTGGCAATTTGAAAACTGAAATTGATATATAGCTGATCAGTGGGGCAGTGGGTAGCACTGCTGCAGCAAGAACGGCCCGGGTTCTTTCTGCATCGAGTTTGCATGTTCTCCCTAAGCATGTGTGGGTTCTCTCCGGGTACTCCAGCTTCTTCCACAGTCCAAAAACATGACTGTTAGGTTAATTGGCCTCTCTAAATTCTCCTTA